CCCGCCTCCGGGCTCGGCGCTCTTCCCAAACCGACTGAACCCACCACTATCCCCCTGCCCGAGCTTGAACCCGGGCGCCTCGGGCAACCTCTCAAACGTAATATCAATCACGACTCCGCCCTCCTTGTCCAACGTTCCCTTGATATGATATTTCTCTCCCTCACCCTCCCTTGCGGATCCGGAATGGGTGATATTAAACTCTGTCGCACGGCATGATCGACCATCGGCCTTGTCGAGTGTAAAGTTGGACGCATTCACGCTCCGCCAGATTGTTTCCCCGGTTTTCGGGTTGTGGAGCTTGAAGGTGAATTGCGTTTGAGCCGGGACCATCCATACGCCGATACAGCTCCAGATTACTTGGGTGAGGAGCAAGGTGCCGTCAGCGAGGACAGAGTACCATGTCTGGGTTTCCGTTTGGAAGCCCTTGTTCGTGGTCAGGGCCCAGGCGGTGTCTGTTTCCGTTAAAGTGCCATGGCCGGAGGTGAGAGAGGTGACGGGCCAAAAGTTGCAGTCTTGGATTGTAGCCGGAGTTGTGGGGGATGATGCAGAGAACCAGGACATGGTGCGCGGTGTGTGTGTTGTGTGTTGTTGATGTAAGAAGGGGGATGCGATGATGACGGAGCGAACGAGAGGAATGATGTATATACGGTAGGCAAGATGAGGAATTCCCTTACAAAGGCTAGGGTTGAAAGGGAAAGTCAAGGGGCTGCGTCATGAAATATCCATTCTGGCCAGAGTTGGGCTTTGAGGGGGGTACAGATTATGGCGGGCAGGCGGGAAGTCAGGTCAGGCTGGATGACTCAGGGTGATAGCACAAGGGCGCGGAGTGAGGAAAGGGGATGCTTCCTCGGTACAAGAGAGAGAGCCCATTGCCATGTTATTCGTAGCAACAAACAAACAACAAATGCATCCTTCCCCTTCCCTTCCCCTTCCCATTTCCCGTCCCAAAATAACCCGAAATGGACGACGCGAGTCGACTTTACTGGCAACGTTTCAAGTCGGCGTTTCAGGATGAGACCATCCATCCATTGCCCATAAGGAGGCACGCACACCCCAAAGGCGGAGGAAAAGGACTTTCTTTCCACTTTCGACAGAGGAAAGATGATTGGGTAGACGAGTCCGGCGTCATGATCTTATCTTGACATACCTTGCTTTTTTTCTTTTTCCTGACAAGAGGAACAACCGTCCCACGCCGCAAGAAGGCCAAATAATGAAGGACACACCGCGTCCAACTCCCTCAACTTCGGGTTACGACCCGACACTCAATCCCCTTCCACCCGATGCGATCCGTGCACCACCAGGCGAACGACAGATCGCGTATCCGTACGTCCCGCTCCCTCCCTCCTCCTTCTCTGCTCTCCCTCTCTCGCTGCTTACAACCAGCTCGACCTCGCATCCCTAACCCTATTTGTGCCTCTTGCCTCATTGATAGTCCCGAATTCCCACGCGCAAAGATCCAAGGGAACGGAACTGTGCATCTTGGTGTTCGTCCGAGGTCGGTTCCTGCTCCTGTTCCCGTTGCTTCTTCCGCGGACGACAACCAGGCAGCGGCAGCAGCAGCGGGGACGCAAGCGCATCGGAGACCGGGTTACGGAGAGCTTGGACAAGAGGCGGATCCGGAAAAAGTGCGTGCGACGAACAGGTCTTTTCCGCGTGGGGTCCGTGTACCGGATGATGACAATGACGGGAACATTGATGCACGCGAGGCGGCGACGACGATCTCGACTTTCACTCCGGCAGAAGACCGACGAGCGCGGCCGAAGATGACGTTGGAACAAGCTGTAAAGCAGTACGACCGGACACACCCTCCCTCCACACCTTCTTCCCGCCACACACCCAGCACGAGCACCAGCCGCGCGGCACGCCCTTCCGTCGAGGAACAAGTAAAAGACGACGTCAGATCCCATGACGGCGTATACACATACGACTACTCAACCACCCCCGGCACCACCACCTCCAGCCAACCAGGAGAGCCAAAAACGCGAAACGCCGGTGCAGCGCAGGATGACGGCGACGCGCACGCTCGATCGGAACGTGGGTACCCCGAGCCGCCGGTGACGGACGAGGCGTACGGCGTGCCCTTTGGGAAACGGCTCAAGGCGATGATCAAGCTACGCGGGCAAGCAGAACGGGCCGGGCTTGTTCCCTCTTTGTCCTCTTCGTTCGAGGCGTCCGCTGCGTTGTTCTCCGCGTCGTCGTCGTTGTCGTCGTCGTTGGAATCTCTGAATGGTGTGCAAGCGAGGAGCGGGTTGACGAGGAGGCCAGCGACGAGTGGTGCTGTTGACTCCGTGGGTGGGAGGAGGGAGGCGCAGGGTAGTCCTCGTAAGACCAAGGGAAAGGCCGCGGAACGCACGACTGTCGCGGATGCAGGATATCGAGACGGCGAGGCGGATGGTCGGTCAAGCACGCCAAGCACACCTCGTCCTTTCGCTACATCACGTCGTCCTCGACAAATCTCAAGCCCACCGCGATCCGAACAGTTCGGCACGACAACATCAACATCCACACCCACAGCCGCAGCTCGAGCTAACATCCGACGAAAGCCAGTCCCGGAATATGTGATTGCATGCTCTCCCAGCCGTGTGTCGACGGAATCGGAATCTACGCAGTTGCTGAAAAAGCAGAAGAGTGAGCCGGGGATGGGCGGCGGTGGTGATTCCGCGGCAAGGGTGGGGAGGCGGGAGAAGAGGAGACGGGAAAAGGAGCGCGACCGAGGTGCGAATGATTCGGAGGTGATGTCGTTGGCGATGGCGGCGAAAAGGAAACACGGCAGGAGGTGAGTAATTATGGAGGCTGTGTATCGCTGGTTAGCGGCTCGACGTGCTTATCGCTTTCCTCTGAACCACAACGCATAGCCAATCAGACCAACCTCACCTTTCCACGGATTCCCGGTCCCAGCGTGATATACCCGGAACAACAGAAGATGATCCGTATTATATGCCTTTAAAGGGCCTTTCCGCCCGTTCGCAATCGCAACTGGTGCACGGTACCGAGATACGACCACGACCGCCCGCCTCGGGTCAGATAGCGCTGCGCGGTGGTCTCGAGGTTCCTCCTATGCCCGAGGGGGAAGAGTATGATTCGGAGACAGAGGCGGAAAGGCAAGCGGCGTGGGAGGAGTATTATCGATTACAGGCGGTGGCGGCCGCAGCAGCGGGGATGTTTGATGGCAGTCAGAAGATAGGGTACGACGACGGTGCGTATCCTGCGGTGGAGGAATGGGTTGATACGCAGTCGCAGACTCAGACGTGAGTGAAACATCGTCTTGGACTTGCCGCCTCTTTCTTCCCCTTCCCCACCTCCTCCTGCTTTGGCCCCACAGTGGTGCAATTTGTGTCAAAGGGGTGCATTCACCGGTAGTAGCGTGACTTTGAAAGGGATGATAAGAGGAGAGAAGCGTACGACGGCAGAGGTTTTTCGCGGTCGGGGAATCCCTTTGACGTTGTTGATCCGCTGTGTCGGTCGATCATCTGGATCAGGCGAGCGGTGGTATCGGCTATGGCTACAACCGCTTTCGGGATATAAGCCAGAGGGGTTTCCGCCTCGAATCTCATGTTTTTTGCCCTTTGATCCCCCTCTCTTCATCGTCTGCTCAAACGTTCAACTGACAGCAATCTTCTACACGCGTTCGTATTCTCACCAAATCCTTCCTTGACCATGTTCATGTACCCTCCGCCATTCTTCGGTGGTCCGATCCACCACAGTCCCGGCTTTCCCTATAACGTAGGCGCAGTTCCTGAATTCACCACTGCCGCTCCAGGAAAGATGCCCGCTGTTCGGCCTCCTCCTATGGGCTCTATGGGAGCTCCTATGGGACCAATGGGCATGCCCATTCACCCTGGTCAGCAGCAGCAACCCCCGATGTTCTATGGGTTCCAGCATCCGGGCATGATGCCTCCGCAACATATGATGGGTGGCGGCGAGTACGGTCCTATGGGCATGGATCCCGGAGCATACGAGGGGGAAGTGGAGTATGCAGCTGCTCAACGACACCCCGGTGTGCCGATTGCTGGACCACCTGCTCGCGCGAAGCACTCGGCGCGTCCGGTACCAATGTCTTCTAATAGTCGGCGGGATGTTCGGTTTGCTGGAGTGTCCGAGGCTCCGCCCAAGCTTGCGACTAGACGTAAGTGTCAGCCGGTCTTCTTTACGTGATTGCCTTGCTAACGGTCTTGCCTATCTTAGACTCTGGGTACACAGGATGGAGATATCCTGCGCAGCAAGGTGCTTACATGAGCCAGGAACACACTCCTGTCAGCTCTGCCATGACCAGTCCCACTGCCGACTCTGCAGACCCCATGGAAGCCTGTAAGTCTCGTCTCCGCTTTCTACCCAAGCTACAAACGCCTGACGTTCCGTCGCGCTCTAGACTCGCCTCGTGGATCGTACGCACAGCAAGGGTATTACGGCTACTCCCCGTACCCTTCCTACCCCAATACCCCATCCGTCAACTCCGGTGCCGGGTACAACGCCCAATCGGACCCGTTCAATTTTGAGGAAATGTCAAACGCAGTTCACCAAGCGGCAGTACCCAAGCAGAAGGGAGGTGAACAACATAGTCTTCAGGATCGGAGGAAGAAGAGTTGGTATGGGCCTCGGCAATGATCTTGAACGTGCTGGTTGTCCGGCACAACCCCCTTTGCGAATGATCCGTTATCCCGTTGTATTGTATCCAATAAACCTCTCATAGGTTGTAATGCTATCAAATAGCTATCCGTTGTCAATTGAGCTGCGAAGTCTTGAAACTAAAGAGCCCAACAACTCGCACCACATATCATTGGTCTCCTCAAAGTCTGGACTCCCACAGGCAGCGAATGATCTGTTCGAATAGATGCTAGAGTAGGATGTGGCGTGAGTTTGCCATGTTCAGATGGAATTGGGGAAGCAGGAAGCCTAGGAGTGACAGAGTTGCTGTATAGCAAACAGAAATCGAGGAGGCCTGAGGGAAAAATACAAGAGGTGGCCAAAAGGATACGCGCCGAACCAAACCGAAAAAAGAATTCCCCCGCGGGGAGTCGAACCCCGGTCGCCCGCGCTCTACAGATGAACTGCCTGAAAAGCGGATATACTAGCCGTTGTACTACGAAGGAAGTAATGATGCTCACCTCTACGTCTAAAACAATTTGCCACCTGAAACGTCTGTTTGCAGTCACGCCTTTGGCACACATTCATGCAATGGTAGACAGCTTGGTAGACTCAGTGGCTGCCACCCAGTTTACCGCCACTGTTCCGATAGTTCGTTGTAAAGGCTCATCCCAGCTCTCTCAGCTCCTCAAAGTACTTCCCTTGCTCATCACATGATCCACCAGCTATTCGGGTCTGGGGATGAAAGGTATGGTAGATGTGCTAGAGGATCGAGGAGTCGGGTGACGCTTCCCTTTCAGCTTTCGGGTGGTGCACATGACCTGGCTGCAGAACACTGGAGAACAAAGGGGAACAAAGGGGTAGAGGTTCTGTCTCTGTTCTTGCAGATCTTGGAACGTCTATATAGCACAGCCTGCATGCTTGATAACTACGCCGGTCTACCCCTGTCCTATCAACAATAAAGCATTTCGCTCGCATCCAAAGCATCACACTCAAACCTAGATATCTCCGATATCACCTCAACTTCATCACCAGCATCTACAATGCCCTCCTGGATGCATTCAAAGAAGACCGCCCCTCCTACTTCAGGAGGCCTTGATGGCAAAGCTGGAAAGAGAAACCCGCCTGATCTCGACCGACAGCGTGCGCTAGCATCTACCGTCGGGAACCCGCGAAGGTTCTGGGAAGAAGCTGTTGCTGCCAAGTACGACCTCGAGACTATCCAGATGTGTGCCCGATCTGTAAACCATGACATCGGTACCTCTTTGATGGTGACAATGCATGGTGGGGCTTGGACCAAAGAGGAGACCGCGCTGCAGAAGGCCATCGAAAAATCTCGATCCGACCTTGATGCAGCCATAGGCACTGCCAAAGAGTGCCTCGACAACGGGGAAACTCGAGGTCATGCGGGTCTTGATGATCAAATCAGGGATACAGCCGCCGACTGGAGGAACTTGATCGTTTCCTGGAAGGCGTATAGCCATGGCAAGGACAAGGCGTGGGGGAAACGAGTTGCTGAACAGGTTGGAGATGTGGCTGGAAAGGTTTTGGGAGTGGTTTAAACTGGCAGAACGTCGACCAGGTTGCGCGCTATGCCTTGTACTTTTCGACACTGTAGATAGAACGTTCTTGTACCTGTACATAATGAGATTGAACAGGATTCCTGTCCGCTCTAGATAGCCTTCAATTTTACAGGACGGTCGGATTAGTTAGCCAAGTTGATCAACTTCTTGTTGTATGTTGGCTGAATGATGATGTCTCGGATGCAAATTTCGAACTGGTTCTGGCTCTGGCTCGTCTCTGTTGTGATCGCATAATTCGCGTTGCGTCGGGAAAACAAAATACAAGACGGCCTCACCGTCTGGGCTGAAGTTTCGTCAACGTATCGAAGGTTTATAGCTGCAGATTCTACTTAGAGGTCACAGTCAAGATAGCATAGAGAACCGTACGCCATTAGTACATCACTTCCTTCCGGGACGTCGAACCTCCGTTGGCCGCGCAACTACTCCCTTTATCTTGGCGAGTCCGATACCGACAAAGAACACCGTCTCGTATGGAAAGAATGAGGAGGTCGAAGGATCAGACGATAGCTACATCCCCGATATCGGCAGCAGGAACATCGACATCCAGTGGAATTGGTGGTGGATTGACGTTCTCAGCATATGGTCATGGAACGACTCCAAGTGCAGGGCCGGGAATGAGAACCGGAGGAGGCATGGGTGACGAAAATCGAGGATACAACATGTCGAATGGCTTGGGCCTAAGCAGACCCGGAATGCAGTCTTCAACGTCCGAGAATCATATTGGTTCACAAAAACAGCATCCCTTCGCATCTTCCTCGGCATACGCCAACAATCGAGCAGGAGCTTCTTCTCGACCAGGAATGGCGCAACAATCCATGTCCGATTACCCCCAGAACGCAGCTCCTGGGCCATCCCCTGGTAATATTCCTAGACCAGGTTCCGCGAGTCGGTCGTTCTCTGCAAACGCCTCACAGCACGTCGGCATCGGAAACAACGTCAGTTCACGTCCACAGCAAGCACATTCGAGGCAACGATCAAGAGGCGGCAGTGAAGGCCCGCAAATCACAAGCAGCTCCAGTATATCGATAGGGCCACACCGAACAGCGGATGATGCTGCGAAAGATACACCGAGAATACACTGGAGGGCATTGAGATCGTATCTGCATGAATACATCTTGGCAGGCAAGTTCAAACGCTCGTTTTATCGAACCTACGCCATCTAACATGTTGCACGCCACAAATGTACAGAAACACCCGGTTCTCGTGTCCCAGCTCGAGACAAGTTGACAAGATTAACAAACAGCCAGTTTCAGGAGCTTAGTACTGATGTTTACGATGAGCTGGTACGCAGAGAGGACGTTGAAGGTGGAAGAGGGAATGATAGTGAGTTCTTGATCTTTCGTATGATGCCAACAGCGTTATGCTGAGTCGTGACATTATAGACCCCTTTCTCCCTGTCCGGGCAGATTTCCACCCGAAGCGTAATCAAGCCAGGCAGAAACTTGCCACTCTGCCGAAAAACAGATTCAAGGATCTCGCCAGTGATGTATTTTACGAACTGAACAGGCGATTCCCTGACTTCGAGAGGGAAGTGTTGGCGGAAAGACCGCGGCAGGATGCTTCAGAGTCGCTTGTAAGTCTGTCTTCTGGCACCTCTTGTGAAGCGGCATGTTAAGGGTGTGGAACCCTTCTTCGAATCATAGCTGCCTCGTTCGAATACCGAGTCGCCAGTTTCCGCATATCCGCCAACGGCTGCACCACCATCACACCGTCCAGCCAACTCAAGTTCTCAGCCTCGACAGGCATTCCAAGCGTCGAACGAGGTTGTCGTTCCGAAGAAGAGTACGATCGCAGAGGAAGTCATTCAAGTGCCATTCGCGAGGCATTCTCATGTAGATAGCGACGAAACGGAATCTCCACCATCCGACGCCGACCGACAACAGCAGGCCAATGGCCAGGATATGATTGAAGGTGAAACAAGGAGAAGGAGCAAACGGCTATCAAACCAAGGACGACGCAGTGCTACCGGAATGCGAGAATACGAAGAGCGTCTAGAATCGCCGGACTCAGAAAACAATGATCCGTTACAGCAACAGCAAAGTAGTCGGAACTTGCGCCCCAGTAGTCGGGAAAACTTTAGACCGAGCTCGGTTGCGTCAGATAATGAAACGAGACCGCTGGAATCCACGAACGGAGGGCCATCTTTTAACGCGTCTTCAACGTCTTCAGAGTTGCTGAGAGAGCGGAAGGCCCGGACAGATCTCGAAGCAAAAATTGCTGGAATGGAGAGACGGCTTGCGAGCATGCAGAAAGAGGTCGACGGCAGTATCAAAAGAGAGGAGTGGGAAAGAAATAGAGCCAAAGAACTGGAAGATGAAATCCGAAGCCATAAAGACGTAAGCTACTTGTACAACAGGCGCACCTTGGGGGAACTAACATTGGTATTTCAGCGTGCCGGTACGTTGGCCGAGAATGTTCGCTTGTTGCAGCGAGATTTCGACGCTGCGAAAGCCTCGAACGAGCAAGAAAATCAGCGTAATGAGGGCAGGCGGAGAGAGGAACAGGCGGAGCTGTCCATGTGGAAGGACCGATACCGTGTGATGGAGGATGATCTGGCTCATCACAGAGAACAAATACGAAGCTTGGGTTCGCGGAGAGATCAGAAAGAGGTAAGTACTCTCCTTCGCTGTCACGGAGCAGTCAATAGCTTACCCAGCGTGGTCGTAGCATGATGATGCCATAAAGGAGTTGCGGAACGAGTTGGAGGTCTTGATGGAGGAGCTGAGCTCACTGGCGGTGCGCAATGAAGAACTCTTATCGGACAAAGAAGAGGACGCCGCGATCATCCGAAGGCTTCAGGGAGAATCTCAGGAGTACAAGCGACGATGGGAGGCTACAAAGACAGATCTAAGAAATCTCAAGGGTGAGCTTCCTTTTTCTGTCACTGTGGAATTTATTCCCCGACTCACTTTGCTTCGGATCCACCGTAGCCACGTCGATGATGTTTGTTTCACGACCAGCAACGCAAGATCATATGCCAGCATCTGCCGATGGGAACATCGCCGACATCCACGTTACTCAGTTTCAGAATGCAATTGATTCGCTGTTGCAAGCAGCTCGGTATGTTCGACGGGTACTACTGGACGGAACGTTGCTAATTGCCTAATTTCTCCCTTCAAAAGATCGAGTCAACCTTCGAGTGTTCTGTCCTCCATGAAGGAGGTCGTAGTCGCCATTTCTGAAATATCGGAGGACGTTAGGGCTTTCGAACGAGAACCCAACTTCCATGTCGACTCCAGTAAATTGGAAAATTTGAAACATCAATCTTCGTCAACCCTCAATAATCTCATGGCCGCTGCCAGGAGTCACGCAACTTCGTCCGGCCTGTTGCCAATCAGTTTGATCGACGCTGCAGCTGGCCATGTCTCTGTTAATGTGGTCGAGCTCATCAAACTGCTCAAAATACGGAAAACGGTCAAGCCGTCGATCTCCAGTGCTTCCGTCGGTCGGCGAAGCTTTTCGGATATGAGTGAAGCCAGACGACGATCCTCTGGCGTCATCAAACCCGCTGAACGAACCCCGTCCCTCGCTGCCAGTGAGGAGGCCGATCTGAGTGATCATAGGGATAGTCGGTCGGAGGACGGTCTTTTGGGTCCGCATCACGCCATGGCTCATACCGAGCAATATCCGCCGGGCAGTCATGGACTGATACATGGCAACTTGTCAAAGTTGAGTCCGAATACCTCGCCGCAACGCCAGATGCGCAGCGGGTCTGCGGTTTCCTTTACTTCATCTATCGGTAAACACTCGGATGCGTTCGACCTGGAAAGGAAAGGTTCTTCCGCTGGCTTCAAGCCAAATAACGTTCACTCTGCGACATCGAACGATTATCAACAACGACAACAGGCCCGTGATGACGACTATGCCGACCCAGTAGAGACCGTAGTTCCGGTGGCACAACCTGGCCCGAGTTCCGAGCAGGA